TAACACCCGCTGCATCCTTTGTACCGGGAATGACCAGGCCACCCATTTTCGGGGCCGCCTGCTGAATGATGCCCTCCGTGCCTTTCAATCTCTGAGACCCAATAACTTCGTCCTGCAGCAGCATCTGCAACATTGCCGGATCTGTACTCTCCACGAAGAAGCGGTTATGTTTCAGCACGACCTTAATCTTTCCGTATGATTTCGTGAAGTCGAGAATGAACGACTTGATGGTATCCGGAAGCGGCGTTTTCGACAATCGATCCAGAAAGTTGATAATATCCTGGGGCAGCAAACCCACCGAGACAGCCGCATACAAACTATTTCCCGTCAATCGGTATTCGTGCAAATGGGTCGGACGCGACAGCGGTTCGGCGATAGTAGTCAAGAAGTCCTGCGCCTGGGGTGCAAGCGGCGAGAAACTCTCCAAGGTGATAGTTCCTTTGAGGGGATCGATCCAGAGCGGGCGGTTCGCATGATCGGGTTTCAACGATAGCGAGGAAAAGTCCTTGTAACCGAAATCGGGGTCCTGTCTCTGCACGGCGGCGCTTTTCTTGTTGCTAAAGGATTCGAGGGAGAATTTCTCCAAGACACCTTGTAGGCAAAAGATGTCAGCATCCAGACCCTATATGCAAGAGACTCCATTTCTACGCTACCTTTCAGGTTATCATCCTTGACTTCTTCCTCGTAGTCTGAGTATTCATCACTACTACCAACATCCGGCACAGGTGTGGGCCGTTTCGATGCTCTACTTGACCGACCGCTATCCGTAGCTTTGCGTTTGATGGGCATTATGTATGTATGTAACCTCTTCCGTATTCGACCAAAGTCGAAGGGGATCGTCTAATGTGGTGAAGAGGATGCGATGCGGGACGGTGAGAGAATAATGTACGCAGGTGCTCCGAAAGGCTACCGGCGCCTGGACGAGCGTGAAGGGAATACGGCAGCTCGATAGCTCCAGGGGTCGTGGACCAAATCGACCAGCTGAAGCAGTGAGGCACAGAAGCTGGTGAAAGCGCGACGAAGATAAACTGAGAGCAAGAAAAAGGCAGGGGGAGATGATCAAGAACGAGAAGCATGAGATGAGGCTCGGGAATGACAAATTCACGCCTGAGGCAACAAGGCGAGTGGCGATCCGACAATGCAGCACTGTGATTGGCTGTGTGTCACTCACTAAAGGGAACCGGCCGGTTTGACGTAGTCTAGTCCTTAGGTAAAGTCCGGAGCTTCTTGCGAGTCCGCGACTCCGAGTCCACCTCTGTTAAGACAAACCCGTCGAGGCCAGAATAACATTCACAATGAACACGGTATGTTCCAGTTCCTTTATAGCTTTGTCTATAATGTTTCGCTAACAATTGCTCCGTCGCTATCTAACAGATTCGATCTACATGGTGAGCGAACCCTACAACGAACACCTGCCTGCTAGGCGTCCACACCACCTGAAATGCACACAATACTGACGGAAACTCACCCAACCCAACAGGATAGGCTGGGGCACCCTTTGCGTCGGTAAGAAGCAGTCTCTGGATCCCAATCAATGTATCCATATAACTAATATTGAAATACAACAGCTGGCGGCGGAGCCTACTACTTTGCTAAGAAATCCATCAACGCCGACCGTCAGACCCGATTCGAAGCGGAAGTGAAGCGCAAGGCGCAGCTGGCTGCGATGGAAGCCGAGCACCGACGCCAGAACGCCCCGAACAATGTCCCGACTCCTAGTCCGACCGAAGATCCGAGCCTGAAGCGCGCCCAGTTAGTGCGTGCCGATGATGTGGGCTCGCCGAGTGCTGAAGCTAGCCATGACCCCGCACCGACTCGTCACGAACCGGAGACAGAAGCTGAGCGGGTGCTGGAGAAGAGTAAATATGAGGCTACGCAGCCTTTCCGGCCTCCGAGGGGAAACCGCTTGTAGGGCTGGTGGGTAGTTAGTTTGCACATAAGTATATGAGATGGAGGCGGCGATGGTAAAAACAAGGGGGAGAAGAAAAGGCTATGTTGTGGCATTTTCATGTATCATAGTTTGGTGTTTGGAGCTGCAGGAACTAGGTATAGTATGACCTGCTTGAATATCTTGATCGGCGGGGTTATCCCTGCTAACGTAGGGGCATAGCTACAGTATGTAACCGGTGGGTCGGAATGAACTCTTGTCTATACAGCAGTGCTTTAAGGAGTTGATGTTGATTTCACCAATGTTTCGATTGAAATTAAGTAGCCATAAGGTATTGTTCTATAGGTAAAATAGCCACGATCAATCCGGAATGATGGTCGTGGAGCAGCCACCAATCCCACCAAAAGAGAGACGCCCACATTGATGGGTGTAACCGGGCTGGCACCTGTCCAGATCCCTTCCCCAATCATGAGACTTTCTTCAACGGGTAAGGATGCAACTATGCATGTGATAATCCCAACATAGTCAAGACAAAAAGCAAAGCAAGGAACGCCATCGAAACTCCCGCCCGCCTTAAGCAGAGGTATGATATGCATCTCTGCGAAAAAAAGAAAAGCCCCGAGTCATGTCGCGTGAGACCTTCATACGGAATGTATGTATGTAAGCAATCGCCCAGCACCCTTACGCCTTGACCGATCAGCAAATGTTGATCCCGAAAGAAATGATTCAGTGCGAAAAGTGAAAAATCGCGCGATATCGAGAAGATTCCTGACGCCCGGAGTGGGTGGTGGTCGTTCGGAAATGAGCCCCGCTGGTAGTGTGGGAGTTATATCCGATCGGATATAGAGACTACCTCCGCTTAGCGCGCGTGGAAGCATAGCGGTGGGTGCGGCCTATCATGGATTATTAATATCAGGTGTTTGATTATGAATGTTTCAGAGGAGAGAAGATCTTACTTGTTGTGATTGGGGTATCCATTGTTCTTCTCGCGAGAACTCTCAAGAGCTGGAGGTACGAAGGGAAGCACCACGGCCGTGACTAGACAGGAGCTGGTGATGAAGCGGGAGATGCGAGTGTCTGGCCGAGGACGGCGGACAGAAAAGTGGCGGATGGTTGGGCGGGCGAGTTGCATGGCGATAGACATGGTGAACAGTGTTTCAGTTGAGGCAACTGGCGTTATGAATATTGCCAGAAGTAGTATTCGACCAGGAGAGTGGGTTGTCCAGTAAAGCAATAAGTAGATAGGAGGAAGCGGCGCCTTTTTCAAGGGGGAAGTAAGTTCAACAGGTAAGTGTTCTCAGTTGCAGAAATTCAGGTCAATGCAGGGACCAAGAGGCAAAGGTTAATACTAATGATAAAAAGGTTGCACAACTGCTGTGCGGCAATACGGACCTACTTATAATAATTATGGTATACGGCTCTATCGAGGCTTGTTAAGAGGCAAATGGAGGATCAGCCTACACCTCAGCCGAACGGACCGTGTTACCCTGGTGGGGGGGTGGTTGTCTTGCGGGGGTTCAAAAAGGCCCACAGGCCCATGATGATGCTAGGCTAGTCCCTCAACTAATGCTGATTGATGATGACACTGGTTTTGGGCCTTGAGAACCTTGAGGGATAAACGAAAAGCGCGCGGAAAAACGGTCCCGAATCATGTAGCCATCAGCTGAAGATCGGATAGCATGCCAGGCAGTTGTCGATTCTAGTGTCTATGTAGACTAGTCGATGTTCATACACATCACTCCATACCTGTCTCCTGCATTCCTACCGCGAAGGATGATGATGCATGGACCACATGAGTTATGTGGGCACCCACTGATGTACAGTCGCATTGACTGAAAGGGCCTTGGTGATCCAGTCTCAACACTGTTGAACTGACTCACAGGAGTAAAGGTGAGAACTCACGCCATCGAGGGGCAGCTGATCGCGATTTCCGGCCGAAGGAGACGGCGGGGCTCAATGACGGACCGGCCAGGCACGCGGGCGGTGATCGCGGTAGTTGGTTAGTACTGTAGACTAGGTTGGGCATGGCGTGCCAGGCTGCAACTCCCCCCCAAAACTGTGGTCCCGGCCCGCTGGAGTTTAAGGTCTGGTCACTCGCTTGTCTGATGGCGGGACTTGAGTATCCGGCCTGGCGGTGTGTGTGGTTTTGACGTACATTGGCTGCAGGGTGAGTGAAGAACAGACTGGTTGAGTGACTGTCACTATCTGTGTGTACGTACACATTGAGCACGAGCCTAAGGTGATCAGGGGCAGCTAGGTATCTACCTAGACACTATTCCATTATTACAACGTAGGAGAGGAGATTAAAGGGGAGAGAAACACGAAGCAATCCTGCATCGATCATGCCACTTCCACCCCCCACGGCGCCTGAGGCCGCCAATCATAACTGACGTCACCGATGTGTCCCCGCGAATCATGACTCAGCTATTAGTCAAGCTTAGCTCCCTCCTTTCCCACTGCTGAATACATCCACCACTATGGAATAACCATGAGCAGCCTCCAAAGATAGAACTGCAAAATATAGTGTGGTGCTGTAGATTCTCTGACATGCGAGAAGACGTGTCTATCTAATATTTGAGCAACGACAGAGTGCCATGCGTTGTCACTCGAATAATCATGTTAGTACTGGCAGCTTTGATTCTGGCAAATATAAATAGTACTACTAAGCTTCATGGAGATGATACTATCCAACACTTGGCTCCACATGTATCCTGCTCTTAAGCACTCCCCATCTCAGTCGTAGTACTAATCGACTAGAGCTGTCTCACTTTTCGGTTTTCTCGCCATATCACGCCGCAGCTATTAAACTAGTATATGCATGTCCAGATCCTACTGCAGGATGATCAGTGGTGGAAGATATGATCCGGGCGTACCGATCTGAGGGGCTCGGGCCTTGATGCTTCTCCATCTACACGTGGATGCTAATAATTCCGAACATATGGAGTGCTCCTAGTATCATCGTTTAGGACAGACGCAATGCGTTACTCAAGCCGTGATGCTCACCGTTGCAACTGAATACTGGTACTATCATGTGACATTAATTTGGATTGGGTCAGCGACGAGAAAATTGTTTTGATTGCTGACATAGTGCATACCTTCAGCAGGGGTTTGACAGGTTTATCGTTAACCATTCACTGTCACCCTCACCGCCTCTGCCATGGCAACAGCTACTAGTTATGGTCTAGACTACTACATGTACATATATGGCATAGGTGATTTGAGAGTCGACGTTCATCATGGAAGGTGGCTCATCAATCACTGATGCCATTGGGGAAGAAGATTACATGAGCCCTCAAAAGAAGTATCGTTCTGACTATAGCGATGAAAGCGACAGTGAGGTCGGTGTAGCCTGGTCTCCTGGGGACGGGATTTGTCCATCAACAGCAGAGTTCCATCTTTGCTGTCAGTCCAAGTTCGATGAATGGAGCCATGCGACCTCAATGCCTCTGAATGACAGACACTTCCTCTTTCTACACCTACTTGGTTGACTTTCTAAGCCTCCTCAAACATGTCCCCCCGTTTCTATCCTGTCTCCCAGAAGATGTCCATATTACAGGGAGAAGGAGAACATTTCTTATGCTTAGGTCATCTCTACAGATACATTCAACAGATGATCCAGACTGCGATCAACCTTACAAGCTGATTAATTATCTTCAATGCCTCGGGTCTCCAAAGCCTGTCGTCTACAAGCTGAAGGCTGAGACGCAATTACAACCAGTCCTTCCTATACGCACCAAGGCCTTTCGCTCTGGGTATTTCACAAATATCGTTTTAGCTTGGTCCTACATCGTCTCTTGCCGCTGGTCAGAATTATTCCAACGAGCAGGTTGGAACAGCCAGGTACTCCATGAAAATGGTATGCAGATTGAGGACTCTTTCTGGCATCTAGTCACGCAAGGCTGCTGGCTAGCACTAGTGAAGAAAGAAACAGCGTAATTCTGTTCTCCATGGATGTTGGGGAGTGAAGGGGCTAAGAAAGACTGGTAAATCTACTCCAGATGATACCCATTGTTATGGACTAACTGGGTTATGAAGCAATTGGGTGCCAGTCACACCAAATTCGTCTCTGGCCTTTCATACTCTTGTGGACTTCTGCATATCGGAAGGCCTGGAACTGGAATTGACCACCGGTCTTGCGTCTGTTTTACTATTGACATCGCGGAACGCAGCTTCGCCTAATCTCGCTCCTGCTGTAGCAGCCCCGACTGCTTCTGCTGCCTATCCACCAAGAGCAAAAGACGCGGTCTTTCATGAACTTTACCAATCTATTGATAGATTTCTCACTTTGAGCTCCACCCAGGATGCTTTGGACTCGTTAATATGCAGTGCCTTTTTTGACCAATCTATTCCCTGTAATTTCATGGGAGCTGCATCTTTGGGTGTGAGGAAAGCCCTCTCAACGGCAGACAAGATCGATGACCAACAGCTCCTTAGAGCGATCACATATACGAACCCATCTCTATGTCACTTTTGGGTCGCAGCTGTCCGTGGAGGTCAAGTAGACTCGTTTCTGAGTATGAGTCTGTATACTCTACCGCCTATATGTCTTGTGGCCGCCTTTTGGACAGATACCACTCAATCCTTTCTCCAGATGGGGTATTGCTTAAGTGAAATAGAGAAGAAAGTTGTCACTCGGGCAAACGAATTTCAAACTTCATTTTATTGCCGGTCAGGCACATCTGTGCCATGGTCACCCGCACCTCCCTTCGGTACAACCCCCGTCGAAAACGTCAGTCTTGAAATCCGACAACACCTCGGACATTTGCACAGACCTATCTCATGGACCACATGCTGGGTTCCGAGTTCTGGTAAGAGGATCCCCGCGACCGAACCGTACCAAATTCGTCTTTCTCAGGTTCAGAGGGTGTATCGCTCTTCATCTACAGAGCATCTTGACGAGTAAGTCCGGGGATATCAGCTGCATTACCGCCCTATATACTAACTATCAAGTGTTTCCTACGCTGAGCAAAATGCGGCTGATGAACAATCATGGGTTGCAACATCTCGTTTGTTCAATTGGCATAGAAGCTATGATGATGGCCTCTGGCTTGATGATGGGACGGGCGACATTGAAACGATTCGTCAATTCCAGCAACACCAATGGATTATCGATCCTTTTCTTGAAAGTGAGCTTGACGACCCAATAGAGGAGCCTAAGGATCGTGAGCCTGGCGTTGAGAGTATCTTGTGGTGGATAGATGAAGCTGAGAACCATCGACACGAGCACCAGTAAGTTGCTTCAAGGCTGATTTCTCATACGATGTTCTATAATTTTGCTAGAGAGATACGATGGTCCATTAGAGTTTGTGAATCTTCAATATCCAGCGCGAATATATGTTCCGAGTCCCGAGTCAAAATATCACAAGTGGCCTGTGAGGCTGAAGGAGCTGGGATCAGAGTCTCCATGCCAATGTGAACGAGCCCGTGCTACTGATGATTACAAGCCTTCACCAATTACAATACACTAATTCATAACAAGCCCAAGGTCGTGCTATTGTTGGAAATGACCTTACTGCATAAAGCGCAAAACCATCCCCACTCCGTAAATCTCCAAAGGAGTAGATGTTCACCCCGGTCCCTTATAAGAAAACATATTCAATGCGCTAGAACTTTTGGAGATCATGCCGTGCTGGGACTTCATAGGATTCAGTATTCTATTAGCGGTGGGCAATTTTTGGTACGGGCCATCCTACCGCAAGTGACAAAGCCTTGCAAGGGGCTTGTGGCTCAGAGTCCTAACTAACTAGTGACTAGTGTCCCTTAGCCGTCTGCTGAATTGACAGAAGCACCCTTAGGAGCAGACTTGCGACACTTCATTCAGACGGGGCGATACATTACCAAACTCTATGTCACAGCGCTTTATTAACACATTAAAAGGAACGAGAAAGGATCATAAAAGACGTGGGTGTTGGGCACAAAAGGGTTCTCACACATCCTTTACTATTCTTGATACGATCCTCGATGTTCGGAATAGGCTAACCTTGCGGAGAAGGATTCTAAACGATTTCTCGAATCGCATCTTACAGTGGGTCTGGCGAGACCGGCGTGGCGGAGTACCTGATAACCTCACTCTTGCAAGCCGACTACGTGCAGCGAATGTCAATCCTAGGGCAGTGTAATAGTCTCAGGCACCACAAGTGGAGAGAGACCCTATTACCACCGGCTGCTAGCTATGCCATAATTTAGCCATTCGGCATGAGGTCCGATCTAGGCGTTGCGGCTGAATTTACTCAAGTGTCTTTTATCTACCCCAGCTTTTGGCCCCATGTGCTCAAACACTGGTTCCCCTTGGCTCTTCCAGCCCCCAGGAGTTGACTTCTGCTTCGGTTCCATGCATTAAACTAGGTATAGTGCAATGCTCATCCTTATTTGCAACACAGCCTGGTGATGAGTGCTAAACCTCAATCGGCAGGTGACTACGCTTACTGCTTTTGCATGCTCATGAGCGGATGCAAAATCAACAAAGGTTCCAATGAGCTGATGCTTGCTGAATCTTCACATCACCTATGCTTAATTAAGGCTTTTCTCTGTGAAACCATGACACTACCAAGGCTCTGTGGACTCAGGAGGCACAGTGCTGGCTAGGCAGGTCCATGTGGTTGTCAGCCTCTAATTGTCAGCCGCAAGGTCACACCAATAGTGGATTTCAGCCCCTCTATCAAAGCACCGCAGGTAGCATGTTTCTCATAACAACTAAAATTTTACCCTGCACGGTGTTTCACTTTCAGGAGAACCATGCATGGCCTGGCTATTTCAGTACAACGACCGAAGGAAGATGGATTGAGGTACCCGAAAATAGTGGGCAATGGCCGTGGGGGCGAAATCTACCATCGCCCTCCTCATGCCCCATTCAAACTGCAGGGTCGTGTTGGTTTCTCCATTGTCCTCGAGACTTCATTCGCTGACAGTGCATTGAAACAGTGCCCTTGTCTAGAACTGGGCAATTGTACATGGTTCTTTCGTGCCTTGTACGTATCGCCTGCAGCTCCCGTGGGAGCTAACGAGACCATGGATTGCCATTTACAGGACCTGAATGGAGCGTCACAGTATCTTGTTTATCTCAAGCGTTTAAAATATGAAGCAGACATCCACGGTATACTGTTTGGGAGACATCACGTTCAACTGCTTGGGCGTTGTCCCGCTACGACTTCATACGGGGATCATCCTCCGAATCGCCCCCAATCTCACTCTAGAACACGAAATCTTTTCTCTCGGTTGGTCTTGGGTCGACTCCGCCCCCCATGAAGGATGTAGCCTCAGGAGCTACTCCAGGAACCTACCTATTGCGGACGGCTTGTCATGTCCTGAGTGGGCAGTGTCAGAGCCTTGGCCGGGCTCTGACCTAGTGTTGCTAATGGCACACGGGAACTGTTGGTTGGGGGCCAATGATCCATCCGACTTAAAAGGATGAGATACATCTCCTAAGCTGGAGCAGATCACAAGAACTCTTTCATTCCATTATCGTCACTCTCTTCGTTTCCCTTCTTGGGACTGTCACTCTTTTTGTCTTTTGCAAAGACAGTCGTTCTTTAGATTGCTTCAATCCTATACCCTCATTTCACTTCATACGATCGAAGATACTAGTTCAATATGGTTAACCCTCTCCACAATGGAGTGGCCACCGGTCTCTTGGCTTCCTTCTTCATCCAACAGGGTCTGGCTTTAGAACTGACCGCATTCAACCCTTCTACAACAACGAACACGCAGGTCAAGGTGGCGGCGGCTGGGGCTGAAATTCAAACTCAGGACTATTCCAGCATTGATCTGCGAACCAGTCACTCGTTCTACTGGGGTGGTAAGTGTACAACTATTGGCGCTCGACTATACAACGAAATAGCTAACATGCTTGGAATAGCCTCTAGCGGTGGCGGGTCCACCTTGGGTAACCTGACTCTGGTGGACGAAAGCATTCTCCCCATGGAGTCTTTCAGCGATATGGTGGAAAACATTCAGTGCACCAACTCGAGTATTACTTTGGGCTTCTCAGACTCAGATGCGTTCTCCTATGCGAAGAACTCGTGGACTTGGGTGAACAAGGCCGCCAACAACTCATTTCTTATGGTGGCTGGCGTCCAGCAATGTAGCTGGAACACCCAACGTGTTCCTTTCGTCATTACGGCTGCCAACTTTCAAGACAACACTACAGTACGGTTGGCCGGTAAATCGGCGACCTGGGATGATGTCCTTAGAAACCATGAGATCACCATCGGCAAGGCCCCGAGTGACATGGCAGTCGAGCTCTCCAAGCGAGGCATAACTTCAGGAACTAAGTCTGGTTCGATCAGTATTGACAAAACCGCGTCCGACAAATCAGTCAAGATCTTCTCGAAAGACGACCTCACCCTCAGCGCTGAATGCAAATCGTGCGGGACTAGTGGTGAATTCGACATTGAATTCAAGTACAAAGTGAAGCCAAGTGGCAGCGGTTTCTTGAGCGAGATCGGAAGCGCGTTTTCTGGAGATTGGGATGTCGAGACCGCGGAACTTACGCTTACACCGAAAGATGTCGAGCTAGACATCACTCCTGCTCTGGATCTGAGCGGAAACCTGACCAAATCCTACTCGGATGAAGCGCAGATTGCTTCATTGACCCTTGAGGGAATTAAGATCCCAGATGTCTTCACCCTGGATGTGCAGCTTGCTTTCGACATCGGAGCCAGCGCTGGACCCGTTAATGGCGATGCGTCCATCTCCTATCCCATGAAAATCTCGCTTGACAATGATGCAGAGGCTGTTCTCGACATTGCGAACAAGAAGGTCACCCACAAGGACTGGACCCCGACCATCACGACTTCTGGCGTCCAACTTGATGCTGAGATCGATGCCACTCTTGAGGCCTATGTCAAGGCTTCCCTCGAGTTGGTCCTTTCCGTCGGCAGTACGTACAAGGATTATGAGTGTATTAGAGTTGCAACGCTAACCCTGTCTAGAAAAATGGGGATACGAAGCCGGTATCTATCTCAAGCCCTACCTGGCAGTAGACTTCACTGCCGAAGCATGTGAGTGAACTGACAAGACCTGGTCTATGGTAGCCTCTGCTGACAACATGTAGCCACGAGTGGCACTTGCTCGGACACGTCCAAGAACTACCACTATGCGATCGAAGTGGAGCCTTATGCTGGAATTGAGCTCGGCGCGGAGGTGGCTAAAGTGAGCGACGAGGGTAACCCGATTGCGGATGCCACTCTTGCGGTAAGTCGAACCTAGCGACGGGCGAATATGCTCTTGGAGAGCCTAGCTAATCTGTTCGCAGTCCTTCACCAAGTCCATGTCGTCGACCTGCATTGGTTTCGACAGTATCACTTCAACCAAGACAGCCACTTCCACGAAGACCAAGTCGACTGATGAATCCTCGTCCGACGATGAGACTTCTACCAAGTCCAAGTCCAAGTCTAAGTCCAAGTCGTCCACCAAGTCATCCACCAAGTCATCCACCAAGTCATCCACCAAGTCATCCTCCAAGTCGGCCTCCAAGTCGGCTTCCAAGACCAAGTCTCACCCTAACAGCGCATCTGCATCTGCTACTCCAACCGGCCACTCTTCCACCCACAAGCACACCTCCAGCTCCACCAAGTCTTTGGAAACCAGCAAGTCTACCATCACTTCGTATCCTAAGACCACCTCGGCTAAGGCCACGAGTTCCCACGCGGCTGCCAGTTCGTCTGCTCACAGCGTGCACAACCACGGCCGCAGCTTCAGACAGCATGGCCGTATCTAAGCAGCTTCGTGGAAGTTATGAGCTGATGCTGTCTCTGACAGTTACCTTCATGTTATGATTTCATTTCTTGTCCGTGTGTGCGCATGCAGACAAACTGTACTATTTATTATAGATTATTTGATTGGATGTAACGTTGAATTTATACGCTCGTGTAATGAGATTAGTTAAGAGTTACAACCGCTTCACGGCATTTTATTTACATAGACTACCTACTTATGTTCGGATCTTGACTTTCCTTTTGTAGCTCGACGATGTACATGGCTGAAGTAGAACTTGGGTCACCATCCGGCAATTTGCATACTTCGCTGCCGATTTCAGCAATATGGTCATACTTGTATGTATTATCAACTATGGATCACTAGGACACTTGAGAATATTCACAAATAATGGTGTCTACACTACGTGTCCTGTATAGAGTGTAAGTCAATCAGTAGGGCGGCCACGATCACGTGCAAAGACCGGAGCTCCGCCATCTCCGCCTCAGGATCCAGCATATCGGTGCCTCACCTTCCCTTTGCTTCACATTCTCACTCATTCCCAACAATACGCCCAGCAATGGCATCCCATCAACTCGCCATTGCCAAGGCCTCCTTCTCCGCAGGACTTCTACGTCCAGACCCGACGTCCGTCGCGCGCGACGAAATCACAGCCTTTCACACCAGCCTAGACCGGGCGCTATCGCATTGCACCCCGGCAAACATCCAGGTTTGAACCGATGCGTCCTTAACCACTGGCCAATACACCAGAAGTACTAAAATGATTTTCTCTCTTGCGCGCCCCCTAGACCTGCAAACAATGGCTCCTGGAATACGTCGTCTCGTCAGGTAACCGCGTAGGCGGATGGGCCAAATACCTAGCTGCGTTGTCTGGATCATTCGAAACATCATCCACACCATCGCCGGCCGAGAGTGGTGGGAAAAGGTCGACATCGACATCTGGCAAGCGGAAACGTCTCCATATCCTATATTTACTGAATGATGTGCTGCACCATACGAAATACCACCTGGATACGAGCGCCGCGTTTAGCACATTGAGCGGATCGCTGCAACCGCATGTGGTCGAGCTGCTGGGCTACGCAGCGTCGTATGATCGCGAGAAGAACCCGAAACATCATCGTCGGCTGGATGAGTTGCTGGATATCTGGGAGGAGAATCGCTATTATGGCAGTGATTATGTGAATAAGCTACGGGAGGTGGTCAAGAATGCTTCGGTGTCGGGTCCAGTCAAGACGTCGCTGAGTGTCGAGGAGAGTAACGTGGATTTCGCGGGAGCTGGTGCGAAGCCAATGCCCTCGGGCAAGGATGTCCCATTCGTTATGCCAGCTACGCATGGTGATCCGTCTATGCCGTACTACGATCTACCTGCGGGAAACCTCGTTCCGCATATCATCCCGGATTCGACGGTGCCGCTGCGACCGGACACGATTAAGCCGCTGCAGTTCTTGGCTGGGCCGGCGGATGAGAATCTTGTCGTGGCGCTGAAGAAGTTCATGAAGGACGTGGACCGGATATATGGGACGGGAGAGCCGGAGCATGAAGAGGACGAGGTGGTGGATATCGATGATCTCGGCCAGGTGGTCGTCCGCGATGCCGATGGGGAGGTAATCGAAGGAGAAACATACTACGGATGGTCACGATCATTCTGCCAACAGATGAAGAAGCGCCAGGCAAAGGGAGACATTAGTCGCAGCCGGAGCCGCAGTCGCAGCCCCGTCAAGCGGCGACGATACAGCGACAGTGCCAGCGACTGGAGTTCGCGCTCACGATCACGAACTCGTTCACCGCAACGCAGATCACGCCGGCGTGATTCCCGATCCCGAACACGGTCTCCGTACCGACCTCGCAGTGCATCCCGGTCCAAGTCGCGGGAGCGATCCAAATCCTATTCTCCGCGTCCGCCAGCTCCCCGATCCATCCCTCCTCCGCCTGAATACCATCATCAACAACAACCTCAATACCCACCACCACACAATGCATATGGCAATGCAGCACCACCACCCCCTCCGGCTCCGGTAGGATATCATGCACCACCACCGCCTCCACCGCAAATGGGGTATCCCCCGGCCGGCGGCGTACCACCGCATTTCGCTTTCCCGCCGGGAGGACCGGCCCCGCCTCCGCCTCCGCCACCGAACTATCAGGGTGCTTGGCCGCCACCGCCGCCGCCTCCGATGAACCTCGGGGCGGCACCACCGCCGCCGCATGCTCCGCATCAAGGTTCACATTTCCCACCGCCATACGGACAGGGTCAGTACGTGCAGCAGATGCCACCGGGGTCGTATCATTTCCCTCCTCCTCATCCCGGAAGTCATCCAGGAAGTCATCCCGGAAGGGGAGGATGGTATGGTGGAGGAGGAGGAAGAGGACAGGGATGGCGCTGATATCAACAGATTCCTTGTACTGTACTGATATAACACTACATAATGCCATATGCCATATATCATTAATGAACGACAGATGACAGTGGATCAACCCTACATACATAAAACTATAACATATCACATCCTAATAGTAACCCATGTACTGTACCAGAACCAATCACAGATAAGAACCCCTAAACCCTATCCCCCCTTCAGACCACTAGTCTCCCTCGAGACTTGATCACCATTCGCACTAGCTAGCACCAGCACTCGCACTCGCAGACGCACTCGCCGAGGCACTCGCCGAAGCCGACGCAGAAGCCTGCGCCACCAACATACTCTCCCTCTGCTTACTATCATTAATAGCATCATTCTTATCCTTGATCGCATCATCATACGGCTTACAAGCCGATGAAACAGGCTGGGAAGATCCTTCGGACTGTAGACATTGACATATTAGCATCATACCCTCCCAACTAGCCCAAACCCAAATCACTCCCACAAAGGACATAGAAAGAAAGAAAGGGAAGGATAGATAGATAAACATACATTCGGCTGCCCATCACAACACATAACTTGATGTTTACACTGATCATTCGGCGTATCGTCTTGCATTCCAGTACCTATACCCACCACCATCACCACCACTATTAGCCATCCATCCACACCCAAACCTCAAAGGGCCAATACTACTTACAATCCAACCCCAACACGGAATTAACATCAATCCCCCCAATCCAAGGGATCAACATCCCCAAGGGCTGGGTAATCTGCGATGCGATATCATTGATAGATTCACAACATTGTTTTGACCGTTGAGATGGGGGACACGTGGAGTTGTTGGAGTCCGTTAGGGTTTCGTTGACGATGATTTTGGCGATTGCGGCGGAGAGACCTTCTGGTGTGTCGAGGGGGGATATGGATGGTGTTGATGAGGATGGAGAGGATGAGGTGGATGATGGAGAGAGGGGGACGCAGGTTGTTAGCGGGGTTAGGAGGGTTATGGTTACTAGGGTGGTTAGGGTGAGGTGCATTTTGGTGGTAAGGAGGACTTCTTTGTGACTTTTGTGTAGTAGTATATTTTCTATTGTTTGGGGGAGTATAGGTGGGTGTGTTGGATGAGGGATGTGTATGTATGTATATAGGTGGTGGGCGAGTTCAGGGATAGGAGGGTAGGGATGAGAAGGGGAGGGGAGGATATATCCTTCTGTCTCCCTCGTTGCCTGGCAGGCTGGTAAACATTCCAGGGGACACTTAATCTAAGTTGACTCTGGATTGGAATGGTATGGTATGGCCTCCAACAGGGTTGATGGAATGCGGATGCTGCTCCTGTTGTTCCGTCAGCTGTCTACAACTACAATTTGTGCTGCAGACTGGCTAATAAGTATCCGAATACTTAAATACTGTGTACTCGTGCAGCTGCTTCTCGCATGGCTATATCTACCCAACACACTCACTGCAGGAGCAAAGTACGCAAGGGATATGAGTCATGATTCAGAAACCGTGCATTAGTAGATACACCAGGACCAGCCTCAAGATAAAAGGATGATAGTAATACACCAGAAACAAGGGAAGAAGAAAACAGGAAATACTACTATGCCAATGGCCGCATATATTCATGCACTGCTCTCTGCACTACATGAACAGCACAAAGTGGGAGTGAGTGACAAAGGGTCAGAAAAAAAAAAAGCCAAGGCTGGCAAACCTAAAATCCTCTCAGCGAACACAAGCCGATGTCAGAATTGGTGTTGGTGATAACCAAGTCTTTGTCAACTCAAGTCGTTCAATTCAAGGTATTGGAAAAGAAAGAAACAAATCAAACACACATGCAGTAGGGTCTCACGGAGCCTTGGCTCGGACGTCGCCCGTTTCTATCAATCGCTTCGCCATCGCTTTCGAAATCAGAGCGCGCTCGCTTGTCAATCATAACGCCGGGAGAACACGTCAAGCTTGTCTTCGGCGACGTGCCTCCCCAGATTGCCCACAGACTCCACCGTAAAACGTAATTCGTGAACTCGTCCCCAGGCCAGATGAGGGAAGTAGCCATTACAGCTACCCCTTCCTCACCCGGATAAGCCTTCAGAAGGACAGGTCGGCCGAGTTCACGCCGGACTGGCGTCTGGCAGATTCGGAGCTATCGTGAGCCGCTCCAGTCGCGCCGGCAGCTTGACGGGCAAGCATGCCGCTGGTCGAGGTGCCGCTGTTGCCGCTGGTTTGGCTGCTGCGGCTGCTTCGGCTGGACCCCTTTCCGTCATCGAGGTCGGTGAAATCCGCCATGCGGCGTTGGGTGTATTCGAGCATGACTCGGCTGTAGTCCTCTACGGACGAGTTGGGGTCGGCAGCGCGACCTGTCTCAAGGTGGTCGCCGGGAGGGCGACAGCCCTCACCTCCGGTAGGGGGCATCGAGTGGTATTCGTCATCATGCATAGCAGTGGCCATCTTGTTGTCTAAATAGGAGGTCAGCCATGTCCAACCGCCGTAAACTGCTACGATGCAAAGCTGGTTCAGAGAATATCATCTTTGATACGGAAGAGCCATCATGGTCAGATGATCTGTCGACATCACGTATAAGGGTGAGACCAGTGCGTAAAGGAATACATATTTCTATGCCTATACGGCAACAGACTGCGCATGCTTACCTCAAGATCAGTGGGAGAGAAACGTAAGGAAAAGTAAGATCAATAATTGTTGAAGGTCAGGACAATAATAGTTTCAGGAATAACCACGGAAGCAGTGTGGGATCCCCAAAAGAAGACTAGCACGAGGTTTCAGGTGGACAGATTTGGTACGCAGCAGCTTGGGCAGCAACAACAATCGGGAAACTCTTTACATCGGACCAACATATAAGATGGGACCACCCGCAAGATGAATGCTCTGACCAGACCGACATGAGATCACAAAACGGACCATGACAGAACCGCTGGAGCGACCTGTCGACCCTAGGGAGTAGGCTCGACTTGTCCATGTCCCGAGAGCAGAGGAGTCCACCGTGTTGTTGTGCCTCAGAGACCCTCATAGGACAGCCATGACATCATTTGCCGTCGCAGGGCTCCTCTCAGTGGCATCCTTCATGCAGAAGAGGGTCGATGGGGCCTGCACCGGCGTTCTTACCCTCAGTTTCTTCCCCCCTCCACTCCATCGGTGCGGCGACGGCGGCGGCGGCGGCGACTGGGGCCCGGACCAGAACTCCTCCCTCAGGGAGGGAAGGATTATCGGAAATAACCGTACTCCACTGGCTCTTCTCGGCCGGTGTTACCCCCGGATGGTCCACGGTCCCATCATTTAGAGGAGCAGCATGAGGTCACCGATGGAATGCGACTGGTGCATTGGAGAATTTATGGCGTCGAAAGATCGACACTCTGCGCTTACTGAAGTGCACGTCCCTGCAGATCGGCACTTGTACTGGCTGAGGCCTGGATGAGTCCGCAGGCAGCCTAAGAATCCAACATGAGGTATGATGGTTGACAGCGAGCCAGCCATCATGGTGGGGGAAAGGGAGTTTGTCCCAGGAGCTAGTTGCATGCACAATATGTGAGAGAGAGATGGGAGATGGAGGGAGACTATGGGGACGCGATGTGTCATGGATGAACCTAAAAGTGAAAGGACGCTAGTTGACTAGGAGTATGCAAGAGGAGGGTTAGCGTGGAGGATGGCTACTGATCATCTCCGGTGCCAATAACTGTGAAAGAGAGGATGTCTCATCTTCACAGCTGTTAACTACTCCATTCTCAACTGAGAAGTTCATCCAGTTGCTGTGGCGGGCCCAAGACCCATTCTCCCTGGAGGGAACCGACAACCGATAAAGATTAAACTAAATCACAACCCTGCAGAAGTAGAGCAGTGCCGAACAGGGGCCCAGTTGTAACTGGGGACGCAGTTTGGAACGGGGAGACAGAGAGTCTGGGAGAGTGATGGAGACGATGAATTCATCCTTGCAAATGCAGACCGATGATTGGCTGATGAGAGGCGTTCGGATCAAGCTAGCGCCATGGCTGCATCGGGAATGGCGCTGTGCCTGGGGTGCGCATGACGTCAGGCATAAGGCCGCCACCGAGTCATATCTGCTCGTTGGCTCCATCTTCATATTCACCTCCTATCACACACAATATCCATTTACGAGGTATGATGGAGTCCTCCAGACACTCATTTCTCCATCCATGCAGTCTGGTCCTCTTCCTCTGACCCGGGAGCTTGGTATATCCTCCGGCATCGCCAACCTCCCTCCTTGGAAGCCATCCCCCTTCTCATTCCAACAAAGCGTAGGCGAATCAATATCTAAATCGCATCCATCCCCAGGAAAGCGTCGCATAACCTAGTCATATCATAGAGTTAATAATCCGGTATCAGGCCACTGTACCGCGGCAGGCAATGCATGCTGCAGAATCCGGGACGCCTTCCGGATTGGATCCGATCTGTTCGGTGCCCCATGCAGCTCATGCGCTAACGATCGTTGCTAGGACACGCAGTCAGGGACACACACACCCAGCCTCCCCTTTCTGCTGTTCTTCGGTTGATTGTTGATATCCCACAGCGACCCACTTGTAAAATCTTCATCAGCAGAAGGTTCGGTTGGTGGCCCCCAGGTGGATCAAGACGCAACCAAACCGCTCGCGTAAGAAGTTGGCAGCCCTGAAGGGCACTTCCTAGACTAGCGCATTGGATCTCCTCGGGACGCTGCACTGTGGGCACTGGGCAGCTAGTAGCCCGGCTCAAAGGGGCCACGGACAGAAAGTACTACTGAGTCTGTGTGTCCAATCCAGGCAACGATCCCCGGCAAGGAAGTTAGCTGCTGCAGCACTCCGACGCGAAATGCGAAAGCGGAAAGTAAAACACGCTGTATGCGGACTGCACAACCAACGACCATCAGCGATAATCATAATCAAATAAAACTTGGAACGCTTTCTGGGCCTAGATCACAGGAGCGAGCGGTGGACTATCACTCAATGTGACATCCGTACCCGTGGGCCCATCGCGGAACAATGTTCCTGGAATCAAATGATGAAATCCTTCTCGGTTCTCACGGTGCGGTTGTTTATCTCCATTGTCTCGGATTTGGATAAATGAATACGCCCATGATATTGGATGCCACGTCTCCCCACCCCCACGTCAACGAAAGAAAAAGCGCAGGCGTAACTGGCCCCATGGATTCGGAAATATCAGACGGTGAGATCGAAATCACTGCGACTAGGTGAGAAACAATCGTCTCTGACCGCTCCCATGATATCACATTGTCTTCGGGCTTCCCTTGACACGCTTTTCGCGCTCTTGAGCGAGCGGGAATTATCCCATGGACTAGACCCGAACAGACAGAATATTGAGAACTTGAACCTGAACACCCTGCTCAACGGTTGTCTAGGCATATGCGCCTCCTCGGTTATGGGACGCTTCTTCACGTCATACCGCCAGGGATCGTGGAACCCATGATGTTGTCTGCACCACTGGAAACGTCCAGTCCTGCTTCCGAGTCAGATTATGACGATACGGCCACCAGAATCCCTCGCATTGATCAAGTCCTCGCCTCTAGTGACGCCACGTAGTTCCATCTCGCAGGCCAGACAGCGCTCGACTGAGCATGGTGTCCTCCTAAGCACCGTCTCCATGACATGACATTTCTGAGACAATTGGCCGATCATGCTAGGGGGGAGAAGACTAGGCCTGCTTCTCCGCTCTGACGATGTCATATGTTCGCGGCCCGTTTGACCGAATCAGCTCGAATACGTACCTTTCATCACACCCTATCGACATTCCCCGGAATGCCCATATCTCGGAAGAGAAAGAGACAATCCACGTTGCCGTAATGAGACATTCAACGTCATGCTTAACCCAGTTATCAGTCCACAATCCCTAACCCCAAAAAGAAATTCACGTTGATACCAAGATCTTTGTTCCGATTTGACCAGCTCCATTATCAGGAGTTAAAAAAAATGCTCTAGATCCCTACAACAGCGGGTAGATACAAACAGACGCCACAATCAAAGGACAGAAGAAATAATTTTCATCATGCTCGCACATCATCACACGTAACCTGTAGCCATTAATCAGCTCCAACGGCCCCATCACCAAACGGGGAATAACACATAGCCCACGAAAAACACTCGGAACTCAATATTAAAAGGAAATGGGCACTTACCTTTCCTAGCACCCTGGAAGAAGAACCTCACAACGAACACCTGCAGTGCGGCCATCGAAACCATCATCAAGCCCTCAATCACGCTAAAGTTGAAAATCCGACGCTCCGTACTACGAACGGTGCTGAAGTTGCGGTTCTCTCTCGTGCGGAAGTACTTCTGGTTGCGGGTGATGGTGGAAAGCTGAGCGGACAGCTTGAAGATCGACTCCTCGAGAGCGGAGGCCTGCTCGGGGCTAGCACCCTGGCGGGAGGGCAGTTGTGCGCGTTCCTCGTTCTCGACCTGTAGACACGCACACACGTACGTAATCAGTCTCAATCCCCTTTTACACTACTTTGTATTATACCCCCAGAGGGTCACGGATCGCCGATGTGATGATAGGTAACCAAAACAAACAAAACATACCGCGATCTCGAAATCGACAATCTTCTCCGCAAAGGTCGACATGTCATTGTTGAAGCAGAACCGGTACTCGCCAATGCTCTGGGCCGTGAACACAAAATCACCCTGTCTTTCCTTGGTGCCATCCAGGACCACCTTCTCGCCGGGTCCGACAACGGAGTAATCGATATCGAAGGAACCACCGGATTGAACCTAATTGAAACCCCCAGTCAATGGACATTTCCACATTGTGAAATAGAGAAGGGATAGGAGCACTCACAGCAAAGTAAAATGCAAGCTTCACGTTCCTCTGGTCAACATAGTTATAGAAACACGCTTTCTCGTTGGCCTCGAGGCGGTAGGTCAGGGCCGTAGCAGCCACAGACGAAACAAAGGTGGCCAGGAGGCCGATAACCAGGGCTGCGAAGCGCATTGCGAGCAGGGGTGCGGAACAAGAGGAGCTGCGACCTCAAGTTTAGGACTACGCTTCAGGGGGGAAAGGTGAATGGATTCAAAGACAACGCAACTAGACTAATTGATGGAGTTGGAAGTTCTGGCCAGCTGTGACTTTGGCCCGCTCCGTTTGTTGTGTTTGCACTAACAGGCTGTCTTCCCGTTTATCCTCGACCCAATTGGGATGGACCCGCCTCCTGTTGTATTTTTCTACTAATGGCTTATTCTACTGCCAAATTTACTACTTTGGCACTGGAAGCAAGTAAATGCAAAATACGTTGGGAGACAGCGCCTGTCAGACTGGCTGGATCACTCTCACCGCGGCCCCTGTTTTGACTGACCATTTTGCACTTTTACGGTTCATTCATAAAGCTCGCATCGTTCCAAGCTAGCTCATACATCAATTCCAGCTGCTAAAAGCATATCATAACGGAACCATTAGGCCTGCCCTTCTAAGCTACCAGACAGACCAACACCACAAACATCGAAATAATCGCATCTGTTCATCATGTATAAAGTATGTTGTTTTTTGAAAATCTTTCTTCATAAGCTGATTCGCCTGGGCAACACATGTCCTCCGTATGTTCATAATGGTATGCGTTCCCTGCCAATCGTAAGATAGACTGCCCAGCAAAAAAGACGTGCATGGCCATAACCATCAAGCAAAACTCCCATCTATCGGATGAAGAACGATTCGCTCCGGTTCCAAAAATTGCGGTTCTTATTTACATGCTCGAGACCAAGCAGGTCGTCCGAATCACCGATGATGTCGGAGAGGATATCATCTGAACAGCGTCAGCTAAACAATGCATTCGTCTCAGAAAATCAGGGTCGGGTCACTCACCATCTTCCACATAGCGCGGGTTGGAATACATATTGCGAGACACCACAGCAAACTTGATCTTTTCGAATTGCTTGCCCTTGATGCCAGTCCGCTTAGACAGTCGCTCCTTCGTCTGCTTGAAGATCTCGCCCTAGTACACGTTAGTATGCTGTTACCCGAAGTCAGGCGAAATTACAACGTACCGGCTTCATAACAAACTTGAAAGGCACGCCATGCGGCCGGTTGACCTCGCGGTCAAAGTTAAAGGCATTTATCGTCCGTTCGCCGTCCTGCATGTTGGCCTCTTCTTCGGGAACCCTCTCGGCGTACAGCGACACGAATTCGTTAATTCCAGCAATCTTCGAGTCAGCCTGAAATTCCCGGTAGATCTTGCCGCCATGGGTCTCGTAGACGCGGGTCTCGCGGATCGTCTCGTCGTCCAGGTTTGCCTTCTTCTGAAGGCCGGCAACAAGGTCTGCAATGGTACCGTCGCGAGGAACCAACACCTCCACAAGTTGCTAAACACTATTTAGCTCCAATCCTTTGCAAAAGCGTGGTTTTCAATCGGGACTTACCTCCTTGGTGATACCTTCAGGAAGCCATGTAACCTTCAGGCAGGTCTTAGACTCAAAGTCACTCAAGCTAGTTTCCAGAACCTCGTAGTACAAGGCATCCTGGCGATGCATGCTGTATCCGTAGGTTGTTGCTTGCCCACCGAGAATATGATACAGGGTTTGGTTGGGTTGGTTGGAGTTCCGCTTAATGAACGCCTTCGGCTTGCCGGTACTTGCAAGGACGGGTGCAAAGCGCAGATGAGTCGATTCCACGTTCAGGTGCTCGCCGACCTTCTTCGAGAACTGATCGTAAGTCATCTTACGGCTCAACGTGAGTGTGAACTCGTCGCCTTCATCCGCCTTGATCGGAGCGAAAGTAATGTTGATCCTGTTCAGCAGGTAATCATAATACTGCCTTGCGTCCGTATACAAGGCGGTTGCCGGTAGGTCTGACTCCTTGATCGTTCTCTGGAAGGTGATGATGTCTCCATCCTGAATCTCGGACTGCTGGAAGGTCTGCTTCGGCTTCATGACGTCGATCATGTTATGCTTGATCTCTTCGAACAGCATGAACTCGGTCCCAGCAGGCCAGCCCATCTTTTCGAGAATGATAGGGGCAAGGTCAGCAACCTTCTGTGTCTTACGCACGTAGACTGCGCCGACACCCGCAATTGTTTGCGAGGGCGCATCAAAATGTTTCAAGAAGACGAGCACCGAGTTGTTATCCGGCCAGGAAATCGATCCATCTACGGAAGGCTGGCCCACCTCCATCCAGACCTTGAATGGGTTTCCTTTCGTGCCATAGCGATTGTAAGCTTCCTCCACAGTCATGTCCTGATCCTTGATGACTTGGTCCGGCCGAGTCGTCTTGTTCTGTCGATTCACCATGACCCAGAAACGGACCTGTTCAGGATCGAGTCCCTTCTCCTCTGCGAGCTGCTGTGCAAACTCTCCGACCTTCTTAGCCCGGAGGATTCTGTATTGCTTTGGTACCGCAGGATCGGTAGCTGGCAGGTCTGCACTTGTGAGGTCGAACCCGTGATGGGCCTGGAAAGACTCGTCGCTCAATACGCCGACATTGATATACAGGTGGGCTTCTTCTCTCTCCTTCTTTCTGCGCGCCAACTCGATACGTTCTTCCACCAGTCGGTTTTCTGCGGCATAGTTAGTATAGATCTTTAAAGCTGATAAAGATATCCAACATACCGATGTGGGAAGGAACTTGCTCCTTTGTTATAGGCAAGAGAACATCATCCAATCTGGACTTCCGAATGTATACCAGCATGTAAGCGTTCATTGAGCGCTTGGTCGACAGCCCGCGGGTGTAAGGTTGTCTAACACCAGCCGCGCCGTTGGCCAGCTCATATTCACCACCGTAGTTCTCCTCGAGCACCTCCTTGTCCGTAGCCCGGGTCACCCGATCGTCGTCGAACCGGTACCAGTGTCCATCCTTGGTAGGCTTCAAAAAGGCGTAGTAATGACCGGCATTAAGGTCACCGCTGTGCACCAGCACACCGTGCAACTCGTAGATCCAGGGTTCAGACTTATCGGCATCGTTGGACAGGTACGGGGTGGCGTCGAACTCCATGGGGAAGGCGTGGCGGTCGTTGATCTTCATCATGGCGTCACGATGGATGTCATACTCGAATCGCTTGAGATGAAGGTGCAGAACAGGTGGGAAGCTCTCAAAGATTACACCCTTCTTGGCGTCCTGGAGACCGTAGGGCTGTCCGGCATCGTACTTGTTCTCGCCTTCGAGGGTCTCCACCTGAATGTAGTCCTTGAAACTGTCGTCGAGGGTCTTGTTGCCGCGAACGTTGAGTTGGATATCCCAGAAGTCCTCCACTCGCGACGATTCGTAATCGACATTGATGCAGGAAATATAGGTTTTCGTTTTTCCGACGAACATTTCGGGGAGAGCCTTTTCTGCCGGCGTGCCCTTCATCTTCTCCTCCATCCTCTCCATAAGCTTTCGAGAAAGCTCCTGGACATCCTGTTGCTCGAATATTTGTCGTGATTCCCAGCCGAAGGATGCTGTGAGTTCTGTCGTCGAGACAGAGTTCTCACTCGTTTGGAGGTTATAGAACAGTCTCTGAAGAGTCCAAGCACTGTTGTCTCTTGAAGCCTCGGCCTCTGTCGGGATCTCGTAGACGGCCTTGAAGCGTGTTAGCGCATTCACGTCGAAGCAGATAGAGGCCGCCACGTACCTTTCGGAATTTGTTGGTGAAGTATAGAGATTGCAGAAGCGAATTCAGATAGCAGGTTGCGCCCTGGTTCTTCAACCCGACCATGCCTGTTTCCTTCTTCGAGTCGTAGCTGGAAGCAATCAGCAAGAGGTCCGAGTAGACGTATGAGCAGATACATACTTCTGGAAGCTGTGCCACAGTACTCCTGTGGGATCCTTGACAACACGCACGTATGCTGTGATCTTGGCCTCTTCGTTCTGCACCAGAGGAACGCCGCGGCCCTCCCATGGCACGTTAAAGAGCCTGCGCAGTTCACAGAATCGGGTAAATCCCCAGTCACCCTCTTCCGCATTG